GCAGTCAGTGAACGGACGAGTGAGACGCACCTGTTGGCATCCACCGAATGGCCCTCGTCTGGTGGCCGGCCACCATCACTGTGACGATCTCATACCGACCGCCACTCTCAGGATCGCTCGCACGCACACCCTCCAGCAAAATGGCCAGCGCGGCCGTATCACACGTCGTGTCAAGCCGGTTGATGTCACTGGCCGACTCGCCGGCCGGCCGCCCATTGCTGTCTGTTGGTTGGGTGTCATCGGCAGTGCTGCTGTGATCCATCGTGCCGTTGCGTCGCCGCTTGGTGGGGCGGATCGGTGGACGACTGTCGTCATCCAGCTCGAATGACGGGGGCGGGGAGGAGGCGGCCGGCCGATAGTCATACTGTTGTTTCTCCATCTTCCGTCTGTGGGAGATGGCGGCCTGCTTGGCGCCCTCATAGCCCAACTTCCTCGCAGAAAACTTCTTCTCTCTCTGTCTGCCGTCCTCGTACCAGTTGGCCGCCCATGCCTTGCTGCCCTTGTGGTAATAGACGCCCCTGGCGCCGCTCTGGTGCTCCGACAGCTTCCTGAATGACGGGGGCGGTGGAGAGGTGGCCGGCCGATTCTCGTGCCCTCCTGCAGGGGAGGGGCACCATGACAACCCGACAGACAGACAGACATTAGACAGACGACAAAACCAAATGCGCCACTGTGCAAAGCTCTGTGCAGGCACCGTGTGCACGTGTGGGCGCGTCCGTCGGTGTACCCGAGCTCGGTGTCGATGCTGCTGCTCTATCGAGATGCAACGGATAGTGCGAGGATGAAGGTCGCCAATCGGTTGATCTCATCATTGCAGACTGGGTCCTCGTGAGTCTCCCCGGCTGCGGCAGCCAACGAAGTGATCTGACTCTCCTGCGGCATATGGCAATGGGAGAGGGCTGGTTCTTTGAGCGTTGGGGAGCGTTTGGGAGCTCTCGCGGCTCAGGGTAACCGTGAAACCACTCTCTCTCGACACACACCCGGGGCAGCAGAGGAGGCAGATCAAGATCTTTCGTTCACTCAGCCATTGACTCATGCCTGTGAGCGTCGTGATGCTCGAGTTGATTGGCGGATGCGACACCATCGATGGCGACTTCGATGCGTCAATCGAGCAGCTCACGAGGGCCAAAAGGGTGCTGACGGATGAGATCTCGCGGCTCGTTGCTTCGCGAGGCGGCGTGTCGCACCCCGCCGAGACCACTGGCGAGATGCTCGTCAATGCAGGTGAGCAGGGAAGGAAAGGACACCGGGCATGCCGGTCATCTGACTGTCTGTGTTGGTCCGTCGTGTGTGTGTCGGACGATCAGGTGGCGTGGTGTTTCCCGTTTCCCGCCGTGCGCTGCTTCTCCCCTGCATGAAGCGTCGGTACATCTCTGTCCTGCTGATGCTCTTCGCTGACGGCCTCCCGCGAGATGCCGACGGCCATGTCTATCTGGAGACCTCACCGGCATACTTTGAGGCTTTGCTGGACGAGCTGACACTCTACGAGACCGGCCGCACCAACACCGTCGACCTGCCGCCCTCCAAGGCGGCCGACCCGGCTTACAGCGAGTACCACTCCCTCTTCATGCGCGAGCTGCCATCCTTCGCACCTCCGACACACAGCAGCCGCGGTGCCGCCATGGCCCGGGCGGTTGATGCCGCATGTGACGAGAAGGCCCTGGGGAACGTCATCCAGACGTCGCTGAGCGACCTGGAAAAGGTCATGAAGAGGCTCACGCGGCGCAGGGAGGAGGTGGTCCGATTCCTCTCGGCCATGGAGCCCTTCATGAAGGGCCAAGACGACACCGGAGACGACCTGGCGGTGCTGAGCCTGAACGTCCTCGGCCGGCAGGTCGTCATCCAGAGGCGCACGCTGCTGCGACTGGGAGCTGACCATCCCCTGCTCACGCGATTCTCAAAGTGGGTGGACACACAAAGGGCAGACGGGGCAGCACAGCAGGTCACGTTGGGTGCTCTGGGGTGTCTATGTATGGTTGTGCAGTACTCTGCCCTGCTGGGGCGATCGCCGTGTGCGTCAGACCCCCACCAAGCACTTCGTCAACACAGTCGAGTTCGCTCGTCGCATCGCCATGCTAAAGGGACAGCTCATCCGGCCCCCGCTGATGGACGAGAGCGAGCGTGAGCTGTTTCGGGAAGATTTGGCGATGTATGGTCTCACTTACTCGCCAATCCTGGACCTACCTTCCGGCCAAGAGTGGGTCATTACGTCGCCAGAGGAGTGGGTGGCCGTCCTCGACCTAATGGACAGGCCCACATGCAGACCATCGCTGCTCTTCAAGTGGGCTGGGCACTCACGAATGTTCTAAACCCTAAATGTTGAACGGGAGCGGCTCCCGGCTGTCTGTCAGGTCTAGTCGTGATGGTGGTGACTTCGGCACGCTGCTGGACAAGGTGGGCGATGCGAGTGGTCTGCTCTTCCTCATCAACCACAACGACACACACCGATTTGGCGCATTTGTCGACGGCCGACTCAAGCCGCCCACCGACCCCACAGACCCCACACAGACCAGCAGCAGCTATTTCGCGCCCCAGTTCCTCATCTCGATCAGCGGTGCGTACGCGGTGCCGACCAAGGTGCCCATCCCCACGGCCAAACAGACGGTGCATGTTGCCGGCCGCGACGCGTTTCAGATAGCTAACGATCAGGACTCACGTGGCAAGGTGGGAAGAACAAAGCAGCACGAGCACAATGACAGGACTGTGACTGTGTGCAGTTGTCTTTGGGCTGGGGGTACCTGTGGTTTGGGTGGGCCACCCCCGGCCCCTCGGATGACGTGCGCAGCATGAATCAGTTTGTCAAGGAGGAGGACTTGCCCGACAACGGCTACCTCGGCCAATTGAACTCCAGCAACGAAGGCACACTGGCGGGCGAACCGTATTTCACCGCGAAGGAGATGGAGATATGGCACATCGAGACCGCCAGGGGTGGTTGGTTTAAAGCGGCAGCACCGCACGCTGCTGTCGGGGTCGGGTCGAGGAAGCCCAAGGGCTTCATGAGCTGGTTGTGGCGGCGGCGAGATAAATAACGAGATGGGCGATAGCCTGCGTGGATGCGTGGCCGTCCTCCTGGTTGAGTGTGTGTGTGTGTGTCGTGCGTGTGAGTCAATCGTGTCATTAGTCGTTTTTGGCTCTCTGACCCTCCCGAGGCCTCTATAAGTACTCTCTGCTGGTTTGGGTGGCGTGAATGAGGCAAGGCGGCAAGGGTCAGAAAGCGGGCCCATGGCCGGCTGTCTGACTGACTGTGTGTATGCGCGACAGACAACAAGTGACCAGTGGTTTTCGCCGTGTGTGTCTGTGAAAGAGTGTCTTACTTCGCCTCACCTGCCGTGCGTGGCTCCATCCACCCATCCATCCATCCGATGATCCGCCGTGCTTGTGTGTGTCCATGTGGTGACATGTATTGTATCGCGACTGACAGACAGACAGACAGACCGATCGGTCCGTCCAAAAAGACATTCATGGATGAATAGATGGATGGATGGATGGATGCTCAATCGATGGGCATGTTGGTGTGGGTCTCATGATCAGTCACTCTGCACATCAACGGGACGGTGCGGCAGCAGTCAATCAATCAATCAATCTGCTGCTGGTCCGACATGATGGCGCATTGGCAGTGAGGGCAGTGAGTGAATCGCTGGATATGTACGTCTCTCTCTCCGTCCGGCACTAGCTGTGCTTGTTAACGAAGTCTTTGACTTCCTCCGTGTCCGTTCATTCTTTGGGCCTCAGAGGCTGCGCACGGCGCAATAGCAAAGCTGAGAGAGAGGCAGAAGATTTCCTTGCAAACCAGCAAACGTGGCTGTCTGTCTGGCTGTTTGGCTTCATTGCCATGGGAGAGGGAGAGAGACATGTCATACGAGAGGGACCGTGTATGTCTGTGTGTCTGTGTGTCTGTGTGTGCGCGTGTGTCATGTCTGTGCGCTTTAATTGTCTGCGCGCCGTTTTCGTGCCGCAATCAATTCCCGAGGGGCACTCTGCCGACCAATGCGGCTTCACACAACACAGAGAGTCTCTCTCCGTTCGCCTGCCACCCGAGTCGCGTCCGCTCCAAAGCAAAAGCCATTTATGCAGACCATCCGGCTTTTATACATTGGACCCACCAACACATACACACATACACACATGCATCCCCTCTGCAGCCATCGATGTCTCTGTCTCTCACTCTTAGTTCATGATGATGTGCGCCCCCCTGCCCAGCCGCTCCGCCAGGCTCTCCCGGTCATCGTCAGCACCGCCAGCGGCACCCGCACCCTCGTCGATGTCCATCGGCTCATAACCATCGCCGCCGCCCTCCGAGGGGTCCTCCTCTGCGGCCAGGCGGCACCGCGCCAGGTCCAGCCGGCACTGGAAATCCGACGCACGGCTGATGGCCTCAATCTTCTTCTGCAGGCGGCCCAGCACTCGGGGGTCGTTCCACTTGAGCGTCTGGCGGCTCTTCCCATTGCCGCGCGGCGCCCTCTGCCTCTTAGGGAAGGCGTCATGGCCGCCCGCTGCCTCTGTTGTTTTGACGATCTCGCCCTCCCGGCCCTTGTTCAACGGCCCCTACAGGACCTCCTCCCCCAGGCCACCGAAGACGGGCAGCGTCTCGTCCTTCTCGTGAGACTTCGGGCGGCGGACGGCGGCTCGCTTGGCTTTTGTGAGGGGCTGGTGGTCGCTGTCTGTGGGGCTGGGTGACGGGAGGGGGCTGCTGGTGCGCTTCTTGCGGTTCTGTCGGAGCACCATGCCGTGAGTATTGGGGCCGCTGGCGAAGGGGTCCGGCTCCTGCGGTGGGTTGGGGGGCGACGACAGCCGGTAGCGGTCGTGCTGGGAGACGGGGGGCGACGGCAGGAGGGGTGAGGGCTCCGGGCTGTATTGAGGTGGGGAGACATAGAGAGCAAGTTGACGTCTGATGGATGGATGGTGTTGCCCCTTTGATCCCTTTGCCCACCTGTGTTCGATGGTCATCTTGGCGGGGGGCGATGCGGTGGCGATGGCTGTGTGGATGGGGTGCGTCGACAGCACCTTACGCGAGCGGAGCAGCTCCGCCGCCAGCGACTTCCTCACAGACCTGACAGACAGACAGACACGAAGGAGACACATGCATGGTCGTGCGTCGGTGTGCCTTCCGTCCTCTGCTTCCATGACTGACTGTCTGTCAGCGTACCCCTGAGCGGTGCGATTGTCCTTCTTGTGCTGCTCTGGCAGGCGTTTCTTGTCCTCCTTTGGCCGCGTGCTGGTGTCCTCTTGGCTGTCGTCCGCCGGGAAGGACGGCGTCTTGGACGGCAGCAGCGGCGAGGGATCGATGCCATGAGCCTCGGCCGACGACAGTGCGCCCGGCCGACGACTGATGGGAGGGATACTGACAAACAAAGAGACAGCCAGACAAACAGGGACGGAGGGAGAGAGGGAGAGAGGATGGGCTGGGGGTGTCTCGTGTGTCTGCTGGCTGCAGGTGCACACACATACCTGTCGAGCGGAGGTGTGGGGGCTGACACCTTGACCTTCATCTTACGCAGTTGGTCCGCCAAACGAGCCCTGAATCAACACACATGTATCCATCGATAGCCGGCGATGCGGGTGGGTGAGTCTTCCCTTCGGTGCCTACTTGGCGCCGGTCCCATTGTGCGGGGTATCCCTGTTGCTGTGGCCGTGCGCAGAGATGCCCGCAGCGTGCGCAGGAATGCCCGCGGGCAGGTGATCCTTCTTCAACTCAAACGGCGAGACACTGAACAAGGACCAAGGCATTCGCCCATTCTCGTGTGTGTGTCTCTTTGTGTCTGTGTGTCTGTCTGACCTCGTGGCCTTCGCCGCAGTGTCTTTCGGCAATGTGCCCTCGACGAGGCCGCTGACCATCCCCGGCCCCATGTCACACACGTCCATGCCCTCATTCTGACCGAACCCCATCTGCTGCTCATAGCCTCCCAGCCCCATCTCGACAAACGGCATGTGGCCCTTCGTCTCCCCCCTCTCCTTGCGCACTCGGGGCGCCTTGCCCTGGCCCTGCGACTGTGCGTTAAACGACTTGCCACCGGCCTGTCTGGCGGCGCGCGGCTCGTACACGTCATCGTCGTCATCCTCACCATCCGCCGCCAAATGGTCGTCGAGCGCCATGACGTTAGGCGCGAGGTCCTGGATGACGCTTTGGTGGCCCTGGTACGGGTCTTCTTATTCGGGGGGCCGTGGGTGGGGGCTGGGGGGAGTGCGATGTCAGCGGCGTTGGTCGGCACACTGGTGGGGGCGGCGAGGAGTGCGATGTCAGCGTAACGGAGGACCTGGTACTTGGGGGAGCCTGCAGACAGACAAAGAGACACATACAAATGTGCTTTGCCGGGTAAGTGCCAGCAGTATCTTGCGTACCGTGTGAGCTTCCGAGCGTCGTGGCTCCACTGGTATGGTCCGACACAGTCTGCAGACCTGCAAAGGCACATCAAGGGAAGGGCAGATGAGATGAACCTATGGGCTCTGGTTGCTGATCGGCGTGGTGGCGTGTGTGTGTGTGTGTGTGCGGCTGAGGCTCGGTGGCCACCTACCTATGATGGCCATCTTAGACCGTTCGTCGGTGGTCAGATTCGCCAGCAACGGCAGCAGCGACATGTCCATATGCGGCATCACCACAAACCTGAAGCCATCACATCACAAGACCATACAGCATCCCTCCCTGCCTCCTTGCCCAGTGGCCCACCCACCAGATGCTCTTCTTGAACTTGAGTTTGTCGAGCATCTTGTCCATCAACACACCAACGTGAACGGGACAGCCGGGAGCATGAGAGTCAGGCCGCCGACACTTAACAATCATGTCATTCACCTCCCGCTCAATGACCGGCTTCCCGCCCTTGGTGCGGGGCCACATGGCCAACGAGATGTCTCGCAGCACCGTCACACCATCGTATGTGCCGTCGCCACTGCTCAACGGGTCAAGGCGCACCACGTTGGGGGCCTGCTTCGCCTTGGTGTGGGCAGCCAGCTGAGACTTGAGGGTGCTCTGGACGAGGTTTTCCACCTCGAGAGCGTCGAATATCGTCGAACGGACCACTATCAGATCTCCACAAAGCTGACTATTGCATCTGCACCACACACAGAGATGACACACGGCCAAATGCTTTGGGGCCCATTGAAATGCATCTATCTGATCTCACAGATGGCCATGCATGCGTCAGAACAGCCCAACAGAGCCTCACGACACGTCACACCATTGCAGTGCACCGCTGAATGCACGCCATATGTGATCTCACCGTTCAATGAAGGCCTCGAGTTCCTTCATCTTGCTATGGTTCACAGTTTCCGCCTGCTGGGCCATCGTCGTGGGCGACAGCCCTGCCCCTGAGAGGGCCGAAGACGACGCCATGATGACGCCCGCGAGTGCCGTGGTGCGGATAGAGAGTGAGACAACGGAGAAGAAGGGTTTTGTTGCTGGTCCGCACTGCTGATAGAACCAAATGGACACTTATAGGTCACAGAGGCTCTCCAGGGGCCTGGAAAGCAATTTCGATAGTGGCGGG